AAGTACTTACGTAGTAAGGTAGTACGTACTAGTAAAGAAAGAAGTTTACTTACGTTAGTCGTACGTAGGTACGTGTCTATGTCGTATAGTGTAGTAGTGAGAGAGAGAGAGAGAGAGAGAGAGAGAGAGAGAGAGAAAGAGAGATATTGTTTAAGCTTAGAGAGAGTGGTCAGAGAGAGTAGACAAAATAGTAAAAGGGTGCGCCAAATGTAGAGAGAATTTCAGAGCCCTCTAAGTTGTCTTTGAATATTATTTGGCTAGTGCATATTTATTATCATTGGGGTCCTATTGCAGCATAACGGACTCATCTCTATTTGCTTCTCGCACAACTAAAGGTACTATTATCCTTCTCCTTTATGTTAATGATATTATTGTTACTAGTGATAATTCAGATCTTTTAAAATAGTTTATTTCCAAACTTGGAAAAGAATTTGCAATGAAAGATCTTAGACCTCTTCATTACTTTCTTGGCATAGAGGTATATTATTTTTCAGGTGGAATTTTTTTATCGCAACGTAAATATGCCCAGGATCTTCTTGGTCGTGCTTAGATGCTCGACGCCAAATCTATTTCCACACCCATGACACCGAAGAATAATATTCATGAAAATTCTAATCCATTTCCTGATCCATCCCTTTATCGGAGCATTGTTGGCACACTCCAATACATTACCATAACACGGCCTGACTTTCCCATTGTGTTAATACAATGTGTCAATTTATGCATGCCCCTATAATTGCACATTTTCAAGCAGTGAAGCAGATCCTTTGTTATCTCAATGGACAATGGTACACAGTCCTGTGGTATAAGAATCTTATCTAATTAGTTCCCTTGAGTTATATGCTTTCTCTGATGCAGATTGGGCTGGGTGTCCAAATACTCGCCATTCAACCACTAGTTTTTGCACCTATCTTGGTTTCAACTGCATACGAGTGCTAAGAAACAATCGATTGTGGCTCGTTCCACTGCTGAAGCGGAATATCAATCTATATCATCCACTGCTGCAAAATTGACATGGCTTTCTTTTATTCTTCGCGATATTGGGGTGCCTCTGCCTAAGCCACCAACACTTTTTTATGACAATATTAGTGCTCTCCACATGACAGTTAATATTGTTTTTCATGCCCAAACAAAGCACATTGAGTGAGACTATCATTTTGTGCATGCAAAGGTTGCTCTTGGATTACTTATCACTCGTTTTGTTTCATCTGGCAATCAAGTAGCTGATATCTTCACCAAGCCTTTGCCACGAGATGTTTTTCAAGATCTTTGCTTCAAACTCGGGCTTCAAATGCCTCCTCAACTGAGTTTGAGGTGGAGTAATAGAAACAAAATTCAAAACAAGATAGGAAAGTGCATTACTCTTTCCTTTTGAGAGAAGAATGTAACAAAACAGGAAAGTGTATATTGCATGTCACAAGATAGGAAGGTGTCTATTACACCTTGTATTACCATTATATATACAATGAAAGAACCACCACAAGAATTGTGAGGGGCACAATTACTTTCTCAAAGAGCTCCTCTCGCTCAAAAATTCTTTAAAATTTTCTTATTATGAGCCATAAAAATGTTCACCAGTAATAACCCCCCTTTGACTAGGCACACAATAATGGTATAGTAGTTCACAAGTTCTGCCAAATGCAGAATTGATGAAATTCAAAAAAGAAGGTAAAACCAAAAATATATTATTGTTAAGATTTGAGAATACCTGTTCCTCTGTCATCTGAAGGAAATCAATAGTATAATATACCAGCTCTATAAGATTACACCCAACAACCTAGAACAAGCATCACCAAATACATGAGCTTCAAACAATAATCACAAGTCTACTACCACTATGATGCTATACAAACTGCAAAATAGTTATTCATTATACTCATTATAGGTAAATATCCTTTTGTATACATGGAAAATAATACTTGTCATTACATTCACATAGCATCAGGTAATGGACTTGGGGGTAAGTTAAAGGAAAAGCACAAGAACAGTGGAGTCGTAAAAAGATAAATGGATATAGAATCAATATAGTGATTATGTATCAAAATGTATGTATACTAATAATCATCAAATTGTATGTTCAGAAAAGGGCTATGAAAATAAAAAAATCAGACATCCAATGGCTTGAATCCTGACGACCCTTTAAAAACTAGAACTGGAAATAACATAGCAATGAATTTAGTTAAGAAATGATTCTTGTAGTTTTTCTTTTTTTCTTTGTAATGATTAACTTGTATTAGTATAAAGTCACTTCACATAATTACAAAAGTGCACCTTTCAACTCCCGTGAGTATACAAAAGGCTTTTCTTTTCGTTTTTTCTTTTTCTTGGAAGGGAAGTATACAAAACGACCATTTACTTTTAGTACAAGACGGTCATAATCACTCTTATCTATCAGATTTTAAATCAAGCAGTTGCAAGTGTGTCGTTAACTAGACTAAAAGTTCAAAACAAGATTTCTCGAACTTCGTGACACACCCCAAGCCATCTAATTTGACATTAATGGCCAGGAGTGATTGTGACCTCCATGTAACAATGGTTAATGGTCTCATATTATACAATCACTAAAAAGGGGGGAAGACCACCCTCCTACTGCCAGTCAAAAAGCACCTGCTGCTACTAGGTCTGAGTAGGAATCCAAAAATATCTTAAATCGTTAGTGCCTTAACTTTATTCATCTCATTAATAGGATGCTCTATTCATACAGATATCTTTCAAGAATAAACTCTTCTTAGTCAACAGGATACAGCTAATAACTAACATTGAGCTCTAGGAATATATGATTAAGAATGTATAATAAGATTTCTTGTAGATATCGGCAGATTGGCTCCTTTCTGGCTTCACTGAAGAGAAAATAAAACAGAGGCGAATCTTGTCCAGTGCAAAGATAGAGTAAAGAAGACAAGTGTAATTCTAGTCCCATGCAGCTTCTGACCAATGATGTTTACTTTAAGTGTACGAAAAGCACTGAGACAACAATTCCATCAGAAAGATGCAGAGAGAGAGCCCCACACAAAGGCAATGACCAAAATGTCATTTCTTTCTTAAGAAAATTGTAATCCGAACTTCAAATTGAGCACAGCATCAATATGTACTGAAAGATGTCCACCTATCATGTTAAAGTTATTACTGCCTAGGTATGACAATTTACTCAACTGGAATTATGCATTAGACTAGAATGGCTAATCTCAGAACAGAATCTCCGACAAGATAAGGAGTCTAGCGAGAGCACTCATTTGTGGGTGTTGAACCAATTTGCAGATTCCTTAGCTCAAGAAGGAATGCACAGACATACCCCTTTTATCCCACCGATTTAATACTCAAAAGATACCTCCTCCTGTATATCATTACCTTGATCATATTACATATACTTGCACAACAGGTTGTAACACACCATTTTTTATCGATAATACAGTTAGTCAACAAAAAAGAATGTTGCAATAGAATGAGGATAATAAACTAATCCTTCTAGAATGCCAGATATTTGAGCAATTTGTGATAGGATTTTTTGGAAAGAGAGAACTATTACCTTCACTAGCTTGGAGTCACCCACAATGGTCAATAGAAACTCAAATAACTGCAACAAAAGAAATCCATAAGAGAAACTAATGCTAAAAGCACTACAAAAAATAAATAAGGGTCTCAACAATCATGCCAAACAAGAAAAGCCAAGGGAAACAGCATCATGCACGGCAACATTAAGTATTTACGCAATCAAGAGAATTGAACTATCATAAGCTACAATGAACATAATGCTACTGCCATCACAATGCGATAAAAATGTTAACTATGCATACAGAATGATTCTGACAACTTGCAAAGTGCAACATCAATAGGAGAAACCCAATTCTACACAACATATACAAGATTCTACTTGCCAAGAAGGCATCATACATGCTAGCATAGTTCAAAACATATGTCCTATCTGTGAAACAAACACATGAGAAAGGTGGAACAACTAATTTCCCAATATCAAATCATCAATACATGATGAAAACATGGGATGGAATTCAGATCCATGTGCAACAAAGGCACCACTACAGTTTCTCATCATTAACTGCAATGTAGATGCCAGCACAGATATAGAATATACCACACATCCTCACATGAAGAGTACGAAACTTAACGAACACCAACAAGAAACAAAAAACAAGGTCCCGCATCTTTTCCAATTAGAAAATGGAAGTGAATAAAAAGGAAATCACTGGGGCACACATTCACATTGTAATGATGAGATAAGACTACAAGGTCCAATTAACAGCCCCATTTGAGAGAATATCATAGCAAACAATCTCTAGTAACTCCCACAAACTGAAACTATAGATTTACAGGAGTATAGCTAAGACATTTCCAAGGGAAGGAGCTCCAAAGAATTGCTTTTGAGGAAGATATCCACCCAAATTCTCACTGCTTCTGCTTCTGAGAAGCCTCACGAAAACTACCATAGACAAATCCATTTTGCACTGAAATTTGATGGTTGAACCCTTCATAGCCCCTACTACCACTTTGTTGCAGCCAACTCGCCAAACATGTCAGTTTCCTAAATCATCCACCCAAAGCCTTTTCCCACAAAAATCCACCAAACAGTGGGAAATCTCTACATAATCCATGCACAGTCTACCCCTCGAGTAACGAAAGTATTCACCCTTTACACTCAAAAAAGCACTTGTTGAACCTGTGCAGCCCATTGTGAAGCATGATTGAGCCAATGAAATCAAAAAGACTAGGACATAGCATCCCAACCATACAGTGTGTCCACTTGGAACTTGTCTGAGTATCTCGCCTAAGGTCACTACCAGGTAAACGAAGACTATTTGATACTCAGCCAAGTCTCATTGAGTCAACTCAGCTCAGGATTATGACAAGTCCCCAGCCGGCATTGTTTTTTACAATCACAGAGCAAACAGAACAAAACCAAAAAAAAAATAGGAACACTCAACAGCTGTGACATGTAGCATACAAGAGTAGAAACATAGCCAAACACATAATTTCACACATGATCGAGTACAGAAACACACCAACACCATAATGCTTGTGTCTTGATGAGGTACTGACCCAAAGCAAGAGTAAGTTCCTCTCATTGTCTTACAGACAAAAAGAGATGATCCCTTAAAAAACGCAAATGAGTAGCTCACAAGAGCCAACTGGAGAAATACAAGAGAGAAACAGCAGCCCAGGAGAATTGAGTGGGAGTCTAATAGAAAATAGCGAGTGATGAGTTCAGCAGCGAAAGATGGAATGGATACTTTAAACGACATATTTCAGTCAACTCCGCGCAACAGTTGAAAGCAAGATTTATCTGCACTGAACACAATCATGCATAAGATCCATCGCATGCTCCACGCCATAAAGCAGTTTCAAATGTGATCATTCAAACTGGAATCACATACAAACAGTCATTTATTCATTCTCTCCAGAATAACTATTCAAATGGATCATGCAATGCATTCTCGTCTACAGAGAAGAATCCAAGCAATACATTCTCGTCTACAGAGAAGAATCCAATCTAATATGCACCTGAATAACAAAAGCCTCAAGGCTAACGTCCCCACCCTCTGAATCCACTCTTCCAGAATAAGGATCATCTGTTCCTCGAATCGCAGATAATTCATATACTCTAAGACATGACACGAAGGTTTTCCATAATGACGCCAAGATAACTGTGACATGACATGATTAAGTTACTCATAATGAAAAAAGGTAGACATGATTATAACTCACAGAATCAATAAATTATAAATTCAAAGAATGCAGATTATCTGAACACTAACAAGATCATATCTATACCAAGCTTCAGGACCAAAGAACTTACTGGTGAACTCCTCTTTTGCGAGACTGGGAAAATTTTGTACTAATTGGATTAAACACTTCAATACCTAGCAATGAAAGAAGACCAACAACCAAACATCATTTGACCATTCAAAATCTCACTGACCAGTGATCAACAAAAGAAAAAGAAGGAGGTGGGTGAGGGAGACAGCTCCATAAATGAGTCTAAATTTTATGTGCTCATCAACAACATGAAACCTACCTCCATCCTAATGCTCCAATCATCAGGATCCTCAGTACGCATTGGAGGTTGTAAAACACATGAAAATTGTTCCATCCATGCTTTTATCATTGGCATCATCAATTGCATTGTTTCTGTCTACATCAACAGAAGTTAAATTGGTTGAAGCTAACAAGACATGTGATTTGTGCATTCACATAATACAATACCACCAGATGCCATATGCAGTACCTTATAGACACCAGTCATTGCCCCCAATGTTGACGCGCAGCTATGAAATATTGAAAGAGCTTTCCTTCTCATATTCTTGTCATAAACCTATAAAATTATTTGATCATCAAAGTGAAAATGAAAGCATATCCTTTACCAATTTCAGGACCAAGAGTCAGAACCACATGGAAAATCATATAAACAAAAAATAAATCTAAGTACATTACATTTGCCCCATTATTATGTTCAGCAGGATAAATGATAGATGTATGACTAACATGTGAGGAGGAGACGATGTTGTATAAGCATGGAAAGAGAACAGGCACTAAAGTCGGCACCACAGTGTCATCCAAATCACCAGAGAGAACAACCAAACATCGTAGAGATCCACGTACTGCAAAAAGATCAAACAATGAGAAAACTATTTATGAAAAAAGTTATTGAATTTAGTAATAAAAAATATTCAACCATATACTAGTCAAAGTGGAAAAGGCTCTTCAACTAACAACATGACTTATATGAAACAACATGACTTGTATGAAACAAACATTTTTGCTTTTCTTCATTAATATAGAGAGCTTTTTTCCCTAAAAGAATGAGCAACTATTAATAAATGCATAACACAATTTGATTTACATCCCTGAGAATTACCTCCATTCATATTTGTCTGATCACTGATTAGCTTCAAAAGAAAAGGCATCAACTCAGGCCATTGCTCTGGCCAATCATACTGGGCAATGGATGCCACTGCCATGCCAACTGCCACACAGATTTTACCATGAGGGTCATCCAAAGCCAAGGGAAGAAGATTGCGGATAAGAGCCTGGTTTTCCCAATAAATAAAAGATTAGAATACAACATGATACGGTGGTGGTATCGTGCTTGCAAGGAAACTTCAAAGCTAAAACAAATTGGAAAATGGGAAAATAAATAGCACACGCAATGGACAATAACTAATGTTATACAGAGGAGTGAACATGAATCCCTTCATAAATTGTCCACAACATAGAAAATCTAATTCAAAACCTCAAGGTTATTATAAAGAAAGAATAAATAAACTCGTGATTATGTTAATAAGAGCCTGTCAATTCTAAAATTTGAACTTAAAAGAGAAGATGTTGAAATAAGAGCAGTTATAACATTTATAAATCAAGTTCAAATATATATGGCATGTGGGTCTAGCCTTCTCAGCAGGAGAAACCACTGGCTGTATGTAATTTGGGTCATCTTCTTGCCAATGTTGCTTCACAAATTGCTTCAACAAGACAGCAGCTAGGTGAAAAGAAGGTTAAGTCCGACCACGCAATTGAAAAATCATTATCAAAACTTGTTTAAAGAAAGGGAATGTAGTTATAATGTGGACAATTCAGCTACTGAATTAAATACAATGCTAAGTAACGAACTTTAGACCATTTTCAAAAGGATATTTGACGCAGTCCCAGAGGAATATCTCTGTTCACTGTAACCTTCGACAAGGCCACTCCAAAACCTTCAGCAAATATTCAACAGTACAAAAACCACAATCAGTTACTCTAAACACAAGCAGCTTCAACACTGGATTCAATATGCAGCTTCAACACTGAATTCAATATCAGTCAGTTACAAGATATGCAGAACGAGGAATATGTAAGTTAACAATCACATTTTGATCTACTAAACACTGCAATTAGAGCAATTCACATATTCATCCACTAAAACACTGAATAAACCATCCTCTATCTGCAGAGTATCTGTAATGCCTATCCACATGGCGAGCTACCTGGTTGCAGAGAAGCTTGCTGGAGCGAAGCCTCGGCGAAAGACCGAACATCACGATCAGTATCAAGAGTTGCAGTCAAGCAATTCAGAAGCCATTGCTGGTCTTGATCAATAACATTTGGTGCCTCCATTGTTGATACTTCAAGCTAAAACACGATGTCACTCCTGTGAAGGAAGCTAAGCAATTCAACTGATATTGGTTCTATACATAGTTTCAGTGATTCGCGTCACTGGAAAACCTAATCTACGAAGAGTGCTCCAGAAACCCTAACTGGATGAGTCTTAGCTTTTTCCCGCTCTTTGTTAGAAAGCGTTCCTTAGAATCTAGAAAGAGCCTTTTAGAGGGAGGAGACTTGTTGTGAGATTGAGAATACAGGGTTTATCAGCGTTACAATTTACAAAGGCGAGGCGACTTGCTCAGTAAAACGGTTCTTATGGGATGGCGCTGGAAAAGTTTGCCACATAATAGATAATCCTGCGGACTATGAGAAAACCAAGGTCCTCCGTGTAATAATTGTAAGGAAAAAGTCCATATAAGTGCGACCTACTAAAAGTTCAAATTAAGGTCCACATCGAAAATTTTACTAGAAGAGGTTGCTTAGATGTTCAATAATCTTCAAATCGGTCATCTAAACCTCAAGATGCATGAATATGAGAAAAAAATAGATTTCAAGTTTTAAAAATAAGGTAAGGCGATGTGGTCTCTCCATATCATAGCCACTAATTACCATTATAAGTTCAACAACCGAACATAGTCCTTATCTCATACATATCGCGAGGTTAATATGATGGTTGACTCGCTTGTCAAAAAAGCTACAGTTTTATCCAATGCAATTGTTTGGCACGTTAGACTGCTAGATTTTCTTAATCTCTTTTTACTTCTTAATGTTGCACAAGTTCCTTATACAAATTATAAATTGTATTTTTGTCTTATTCTTATCAATGAAAAATGAGTAGTGGGCTTCTCCCCCCATGACTTAGCTAAAAAAAAAGGTTTAGAAATAGTGCAAACTGGAATGCATTTTTTGACCGTCAATTTTCAAGATTTTCAAGTGTTCATAGATCTATACTATTTTTTAAACTTTAAAATTTTATAATTAGATATAAAAATAAATTTCCAAGCCATCACAAAGATTTTCAATACTTAAAAAACAACTTTTGACATTATTTGAAGGTGTGCCTTATTTTCATTATTTAGAGCCTCGATCTTATATAAACCGCACCCTAATTGGAATGATGTGGGTGGTGATGACCAGGAGAACATGATGCAAACGCATCACGAACTTACTTCCTCTGCCCAAGGATGAAGTGAAGCCTTTGGCCTACCGCTCTTGGCGCTCTGGCCTCCCTCATTTTTAGGGTTTTAGAAAATTTTATTAAGATCGGCACATTGGATCAGCTAGTAAACCGATTAAGTATTTGATCTACTCATTGTCAAAAAAAAAGTGTTTGGTCTAGTCAAAACATGTCTAACTGCTAGTTGAATCAATTGACTAAACTTAAAAAATATTGAAAAAACCTATGAATAATAATAATATATTAAGAAAAATATTGTCGACTTTGTTTAACACTTTGACTAGGTTTAACCAATAGAAATCGGGTGATAGGACCGGCCACAGTGGGTTAAATACTGGTTTTTTACCAAATTTGATTTTTCCTATGGACTAGATTAGCTAAGACATTGCTTGCGATCTTGACCATTTGGACCATTGGTTCGGTCCAGTCTTTATAACTATGGTTAGAGGGGCATTTTACGTACACTAAATTCTGCACATGTTTTTTCTTAAACCTAGTTGCATGGAAAAATAGAAAGGAAAGTTTTTCCTAAAAAAAAATAACCCGGGAGCAAGATGTCTATTTCAAAGAGAGATGGATCTAGCTATCTAAGAACTTCTTAGTTTTTTTGTTTCAAAAAATACTTGTGTGTGTTTCAAAATAACTATATGATTTTTATGGTTTTTTTCCTAAACTGTATTTGTAGAGAGAGAAATCTGTGGGGTTTTAGTATTACATTGAAGATGAGAGAGTAAATTGAATAGTATTTAAGTATAGGCATACACATGCCTTATACTCTTAGATCAAAAGAGAGAGTGTTGGTGAATGCGTGGAGCACGCAAAGTGCGCGACACACACGCACAATGGCTCTTGATGGTACACTATGAACCTCTCTATCTCAACATGCCTCTTTCCCTAAAATTCTAAGACTAATCTCTCTCTCTCTAAATACAAGACTTGGATATCTACTGTTGGTTTCAAGCTCGAGTGCTCGGGTGCATAGAGATTTTGGAGCTGTGTGGGTTTCAAGCTCGAGTGCATAGAGATTTTGGAGTATCAAAAGAAACCTTGTGTGCGCGAAAACAAGGACTCGAGCTTTTGTTTTTCTAAAATTGTACTATCTTTTGCCCCTATTTCATGCAACCGAATTTCCAACATAACTAACCATTAATTTTTTTGAAAAGCTATTCATCTTTTGACCACGAGGAAGTGTACAAACTTTTGGGTTGAAAATTATCTTCTAGGGCCTCATACTCTTTTTTTTTTTTTTGATGAAAGTTCTATAATCTTATTAAAGAATCAAAGAAATACAACAGACTAAAGAACAGTTACATCAAAGACCCACAAATCAACAGAAGAACAACCCTGTTTCCCTAAGGTATCCGCCACACCATTGGCCTCCCGCAAAACATGAACAAAGGAAATAAAAAGAGACCGAGAGAGATAAAAAATTTCCAACAAGAACGATCTAAGCTCCCACGGAATCTTCTTAACCTTATTACACCAGTTTATAACATTCAGAGAGTCCCCTTTCACCACACAATTAAATCCCAAATTCTTAGTCTTAAACAATCTAAGACCCTGAAGAAGTGCAAAGCACTCCACATAATTCGTTGTCTGCACTCCTAACGGACCTACATAATTAAAGATAACCCGACCCTCCCAGTCCCTCACAACTCCCTCCATAACCGATAGTACCTGGGTTCCCAAGAGAGCTACCATCAAAATTCAATTTAAAAACTTCATAATAGGGCGAGGACCATCTACCAACAACTATGTATTTCCAGCCTCCTAGTTGGAAAAGAGTAGTCAGATTAAATATAATATCAATCTCAACAATGTCTCTCCCAATCTTTTGAATTGATAAGTTATCCAAATAGAATGCAGTATCTTCTCCAACACTCTTTCCCAAGGCAACGATTTACCCTCGAATACTCTTCTGTTTTTTTCCTTCTAAATTTCCCAAATAATCATTCCTCGAGCAATCCCAAATAAGCGCTCTTGTTTGTGGTGAAGAATGAACAGATAAATCACATAGTATACCAAAAGCATCCGTAGGTAGAACCAATGGGACCTGTAGTTGTCCCAAAAACCAGCACCAAATTCCATAGGTAAACGGACAATGAAGAAAGAGATGGGGACCTGATCCCCCATAATTCTTACATAGCAAACATACATTGGGCAAAAAATTTCCTCTCTTAATAAGGTTGTCAGTAGTAAGGACCTTGTATTGCAAAACCAGCCACATAAATGCTTGCACCTTTGGGGGTACCGGCCACTTCCAAATATTTGCTAACTCTGGATTAGACTACCTCCATCTATCATGAAAAAGAAGGTCATACATCAATTTCACCGAAAACTGACCATCTTTAGTATGATCCCAAATTATCTCGTCACCTGCCTTCTGGTCAACTGGTATATAAACAGTATTTAATATCGAGAGAAGATCTGAAAACTGGGAAAGCGTATTTTCTGAGATGCTATTGTAGACAAAATTAATATCCAAATCCCTCTTATTCCCCCTCGCATCCAATAAATCATGAATGATCACGTTCTTATTTTCCATTCGATGGAAAACAAAGGGGAAAACAATTTTTAAAGGCGCGTCCCCTAGCCACTTATGATGCCAAAATGAGATGCAACGACCATTATCCAAAGACCATTGAATATCCCTATGTACTAGAGCTTTACAAAAGGAGATAGCTTTCCAGCAAGGGGACATACCTCTAATGTTATTCCACTATCCCACTCACATCTTGAATCGATCCTCCCATATTTTGATGTTATCACTTTATACCATAAATAATCATTTAGCCAAAGGCTGCTCCACTACCATTTGCATAAAAGCATCTGATTGGCCAACTTAACCTTCTTTAACCCTATGCCACCTTCTCTCTTTGGTGTGCACACTTTATCCCATCGTAAAAGATGGAACTTTTTAGAATCACTCAAGGAGCCCCAAAGGAAATTACGCGTAAGCATTTCGATTCTCTTTGCCACTGAGGCTATCATCTGATAAATAGGTAGGATAGATAGGCAAGCTTTAATCAAAGTAATTCTACCCCCCAAAGATAAATGTCGGAACTTCCACAGATCTTACTTGGTTTGAATTCTCTAGATGACTTTGTCCGAAACGGCAATAGGCAACCGTCCATCTGAAATAGGCAGCCCAAGGTACGTCATTGGAAAGTGTTCGACCTTAGAGCCTAACAGCAGTGCCATGTTCTCCAATAAATCCTCATTAAAATTAACTCCGAACATTTCAATTTTCTGAAAATTAAAACTTCAACCCCAAAGCCACTTCACAACATTTAAGGAACAATGCGATGTTAAAGACAAAATCCTCTTTCGCGTCATAAAAAAGCAGTGTATCATCAGTGTATTGAAGGTGAGTGATACAAGGACCGTTATTAGGCAATTGAAAACCTACAAAATGGCCTTTAGCTGCAACATTTTTTATGAGCAAACAAAGGCACTATGTGTAAATTGTGAATAGAAAAGGTGAAAGAGTGTCACCTTGTCGAATACCCCTTGAAGTTTTAAAGTAACTAACTGGACTTCCATTTTACAAAACCAAAAAGTGAACTGAAGAGAGACATCAATAAATCCAACTTTGTCATTTCTCCCCAAAACCCATAGTCTTCATGATTCCAAAAGCACACCCCACTCAACCCTATCATATGCTTTCTCCATATCCAATTTAATTACCAACCCCGGATTCCCACTCAAAACCCTAGAGTGGATACACTCCTGAGCCATCAGGACACTATCAGTAATACTATCTTGAATGAATGCCAACCGAGGACCAAAAATGATGAAAGGCAAGACCACCTTCAGACGCTCAGCCAACACCTTAGCAATAATCTTATACAAGCTTGTTAAGAGGCTGATAGGTCTAATGTCTCCCAAACCTTCAATGACAGATTTCTTAGGAATAAGAGCAATAAAGGTAGAGTTGATACCCCTAAATAGTTCTCCAGTCCTTAAGAAACCCTTTACCATCTCAAGAAGTTCAGCAAAAACTAACTCCCAGAAAGTTATGGAAGAAGACTAAGGGGAAACCATCTGGCCTAGGAGCCTTATCACCAGGTAGAGAAAACACTGGTACCACCATATTTTTGAGTTCTTCCATGGTAA